AGAAGACATTAACACATTAAACTGATTTTAAGAGATTAAAATCAAAATGAGTAGATTTGATTTGAAAGGCAGCTTTCTGGTTAGTGTGCACATTACTCCCTCTACTGGTGAAGCGGCAGAAAACACAGTTTCTCTGTATCTCTGAATCTCTCTATGCAACTTGATTCAATATATTAGAGAGGAACCAGGAACTTAATAAAGTCAGGCCTGTTTCAGCCACGAGATAAAAATATTCATCATTTACACATTTGATTAAATACCTTGTGATCAGCTGATAATCTGAGATTCCACCTCTGTCCAGGCAGCTTTTGGGATTTGTTTTATTGGTGCTGAGGTGAGTTAGTGTTTCATGGGCTGACGAACCTGAGATTGAGCCTGAATTCACCATTCTCAGGTCGGACAGTCCGAGAATGAACTACTCAAAAGTTAAAGTACGACTGGGTGTCCTCCACAGGCTGCTGCGTGAGCCTCGCTGTGCCCTGTCTGCAACTGTTAAAATGATTAATGAATTTTAAAAAAATGAATAAAATAGATGCAAAATATATTTGGCTCATGATAATTCTGGTAATAATATGGTTTAAATATCTGCAAATGTGCACGTTTAGGGTGACATGCTGGTAGAGTGTCATCATTTTCTGCAAAACATAAATAATAATGTGAATAATTTGAGATCGAATAGAAAGAAGATGATATAAGATTTTACAGTTGGTCCCGTTAACATTGTAAATCCCCATCATTCAAAGATTATATTGATAATTCAGTAAATGCTAAATTTATTACAAACTGGCAAAAATAATGCATTGGAATTCAAAAGTCTTCTTTCACTTTTTTTTTTTAGGAAATTGGGCTCTTAGTTAAACATATCTACCAGAAACGATGCACACAGCAAAAATGATTCCTGTTGCACGAATACAAATCTGGAAGTGAAGAGTAAATTGCATTCGGTGAAACAAAACCAATATTAATGAAAGGTGCACATTCAAAGTAACAGTTTTTAATTGATCTAAAACCTTCCACAGACTATACCTANTAACAAGCTTCGGTTTTTAATTCTTGTGAGCCAATGGAACTATCAGAAATGGTTGTGTTGTCTAGTTATGAAATAAATATCACGTTATGCAGCATCTTTAGAATAACTCAGATTGAACAGAACGATCACAGACGTTAGAGGATTTTGGAACCACAGTCAAAAATCCTGTGAGGTTAAAATGGAGGAAATGTATTTGTTGAAATAACTGCAGTTTATTTCAACAACGACAGTGATTACTAATCATTCCGATGATGTTATCTCAATAGATTTTAATGTTTAATGTTAATAGGAGGCTGCAGACACTGTGTTCACAGTAAAATATCATATCTCATTTCAATGACAAACAGTTTCAGCAACAGCAATTTAAACAGAAACTGTGATTGTGCAAGTTTATTTATTCGGTGTGCTGTTGACTAACCTGAAGTGCAACCACTCAGAGAACAATTACTCAGCTGAAGAAGCACAAACTGCATCACATAGTAAAAAACTCTAAATCACCCTGGCCAGACTTTATGAGGACAGACCAGGCTCATAGAGGCTCTGATGATACACACGCACACACGATCGAGGAGGAAAAGTAAAGACTGTCATACTTTACCTTGTTCAACAGCCCTCTGCACGTGTTTCAGAAATACTCTGAATAATTCATCCTCATGTATCTGCATTAAGCCAGTGTACTGCACCATCTCCTCACATTTACAATCCAAAACAAACTGTCACTGTCAACGACCACCAGACAAATAACAGTGAGAAAACACTCTCTCATATCTCCTCAACAATCTTCACCATAAGTTTCTGAAGTCCCCTCTGCGTGCTCCTTACCCCCATGGCAGATCCTCTGACTCCTCAGGCAGACAGGAGGAAAAGTTGAGTTGAGACAAGGAGGAGAGGAGAAGAGGAGAGGAGAGGAGAGTAAAGCTGGTGAAGTGAGGATGAAAAAGAAAGACAGGTCGCTGAGCTATAGCTGCCTCACTGCTGCTGTCGTTACAGAGCTGTGACCTCATCATGCTCTGTGCTACCAGTGAAGATGCTATACACACACACACACACACACACACACACACACACACACACACACACCACCTTCCTGTTTGTCAGTGATGGTTGTAAACTTTCCACTGACATCTCCATTCAAGAGACGACTACAGTTTCACACGTTTTACCTTTCAGAATAAAATAATGATAAAAACTGTGTTTGAGCAGTTGTCACCATGCATTGAAATATACTTTGCATGTGTGTGTGTGTGTGTGTGTGTGTGTGTGTGTTGTACTTGTACTTATATCTTTGTGAGGACCATTCTAAGCATAGGCCTTACAGACTGAGGACATTTTGACCGTTCCTCACTTTTTAATGTGCAACTGTTTGAGAGTTAACTTGGGTCTAGGGTTAGAATTATATTTAGGTTAGATTAAGGGTAAGGGTTAGGCTTTTATTTAGGATGGTTAAGATTGTGATAAGGGGCTAGGGATTGCATTATGTCAATGAATGTCCTCACTAAGACAGAAGTACAAGAATGTGTGTGGGTGTGATTGTGTGTGTGTGGAGGGAGAAATACAATTGCTGTGATGAAAATAAATACAAAGCCAACTTCTCATTTTTTTACAAATTTAAACAAATTCAAATTAAACTAAATTGAGTCATTATATTTTATTAAAATCTCAGTCAATTTAACTTTTGCAGAAAAACACAATCTTTTGAAAGCTGCACTTTTAAAAAACGACATAAACTAGAACGATACAAAAGTAAAATGTCTGCTGCTGCTGGGCTTCCTGATATTCTTAGCGCTCGCACGTCTTTTCACTGTCCCTCTCACGCCTCCTCTCTCAGGAGAGAAGATGCCTCCAGTGGGTCAGTTTCTGCCTGATCAGCCGCTGGTTTATTATTGTCCATCAGTCTCATCAAACGCCTGTCAATCACACTTTAGCCGCCTGACGTCTTGACAGCTGTCAGAGTGATAATTATGGAAATAAGTGATGGAAAAAGTCAAGGTTACTTTCCATGAGAAGAGGACAACCACAATATCCTTCCTGTTCATTTTGAACATGCTGCTAATGTGTCATTGTGTCTTCAAGTGTGTGATAAAGGTTAAAATATGCAACTCATGTACACCCAGCTGTCAGTTTATTAGGAACACTCAATGTTCAGTTGGATGTGTGATACATTTTTGGCCGTGTGATTTGTGAACTGCATTATACAAAAAGGTGAGTCTGTTGTTGAGCCTACTGTCATTGACTTGAATTAGGTTGACAGAATAATAGGAACACCTGTCAGCATAAGGCAACGTGGTTCATCAAAAACTACATCCTGTTAAATTATTGGCTGAAAAAAGTCTGTGTCCCACCACATTTAAACCTGCAAAATCCAGATTTTTATTTGGGTCTTCATACAAATTCCAGTAATTTGTCTGAAGTTCTTAATTTCATCAACACATAATTATCTGAGAAATCATTAAAACACAACCATCACACATCTTACAGTGTTCAAGAGAGTGAAAAATAAATCCTTGATCCACCCCCTGATCTAGATACCCAACAGTATTTTCTGGCTTCTTCCCTGACCTATTACACATCCCACCACCAAGTTCCGTGGTTATCTGTGCAACAGTTTTTTCATAATCCTGCTCGAAAACGGACACACCAACCAATCAACAAACAGGATTGATTGGGCCGGACTGCTGTATAAAACTGCATTACAGGTGTACCTAATTAACATAGTGAATCATTTACATGACTTTTGTACTAACGCTGGCTGAAGAATAATTTAAAATGAATTGTTGGGAGAGCTGTTTGATCATAAAATGTGCATATGACCTAAATGAAAAGATGCACTGGAAGAAATCTAAAAGCTGCATTGCACTTTTATTAAAATAACAACAAACATGCATCTGAAGAATTAAAGACCAATAACAGCAGGAAACAGCAGGCGGTCAAACACTGAGGCTGCAAACACAATCACTGCATTTTCAGTACCGAGCGAATCGCTAACTGTTGACCTCAGCAGTTGACTAAATGCTGAGATAATGATGACCACACAGTAGCAACTAGTAGCTAATGTGACAGGATGCACGGAGATACATTTTTAACACAAGTCATGTTTATGTTTCTCCTCTTGCAGTTATGCATGTGAATAAAAAGAAATGTGGTGCATAGATAATGAGTTGTGAACTTGTAGAAGAGAGCGTCACTATTAATGTAACTCAGTCGCTACAATGCACTTTTCATGCAATGTCACTTCATTCGTTCAGAACAACATGTGACATTGTGGAGAACTGTTGAACTGATCCTTTTAAGGGCAAGGCCACGTTAAACAGGCACATTTTAACAAACACATCTCATTTGTTTCAATACTGATTCCACGTGAAATGATCAGGCACTAGCTGAACCCTTTCTGACATGTTCTGAGTTCACTCCCTAACAGCCCTTTCTGTTTTTCACCAAAATAACACAATTCCCTCTAAAGCAGGAAAAAAGAGGCATAAATCAGGATGCGTGGGACAGAAATAAACACTTAATCTCTGTGTGTTTAAAAAAAAATGCAGATGACCCATTTTCATAGCAGTAAAAAAAGGTATGACTTCCATTTTCCCTGGTCAGGTCTATCCATAGCAAAAATATGTAAATGAAGGCCATACTGAATAAATACACATCACAAGTGCATACTTTTAGCTGTATAATGAAAAACGGTTTTCAACACCCTTTTTAACTGGTGAGGTCAGCATCCACAGAGAGGGGAAACGCTGAACTAAAAAAAAAAAGACAGATACACTTACACATTTTCCGATTGAATGGTCCTTCAGAAAGTGCTCGTGGCACTGGAAGTTGAGCAACATGAGTTCATGTTCTGATTTGACTTTTGTGAAAGTTGTACGGAAGCTGTGTGATAAAATGAGCTTGAAAGCTTTTTTTTTTTCCCTCTTGTACAGCGGGAGCAAATTTACATTCAGTTGTGTCGTCCACAGCACACAGCTTTAGGCAAGATATATCTGCTTAAAACAACGGGTCCGCAAATTTCCTGACAGAGATTGTTAAAATTCAAAAAACGAAATAAAACATTTGGACTTTATAACTTACTCAACATATAAAAATATTTAACTTCATAACACCACCTTCCGGAACAGTATTTACATAAGATTAAATAATATAATCTCAAGTCTTAACAAGGTGACAGCAGCAAGGTTTGTCCTGTTCACTGTATCTCAGGGCTCTTGTGTGGCTCTTAGAAGACAAACTGTACAATATGTCATGACCTGACCGAAACAAAGAGCATATCCTCGTACTGTCCTCTCCACACAGTCAGTGCACACTCAATAACACCATTAGTAACTGGGCTCGTCCATCTCTTCATCGCTCCAGTCAGGAGGTGCATCCGTTCCAAAGTATCGATCCCCAAAGTTTCCTTAAAATACAACAAATGAGATTTATTGAGTAAATCTGTAAAAATCTGAGAAGTCATGTAATTGTCAAACACACCACATGAAATAAATTGTGAATATTCGGAGGCACTTCTTGCACCCTGTTATTTACTCAGCATAACTCACCTATGCCAGGGATGATGTGGAAGAGGTCGTTGACCTTCTTGTCGACGGCTGTTGTGATGATTTTGACCTGTGGAAACGCGTAGGCCACTGAATGGACTCCCATTTCCGCCATTAGCAAAGACACCAGCAGGATTTTCTCCTCCTGAACATCGTGATCCTGAAAAAACAAAACATGGCTGTGAAAAACTGTGTAATGCAATTCACTGCCGTGGATTTGTGAACCATCAGTCGCACCCACCAGCAGGACGCGTACAGCCATCAGGGCAGCGGCTCCAGTGGACACAGTGCAGTCCATCAGAATCACATGGTCCTCACTGATGTCTTTGGGTAGACGCAGGTAGTGAAGCTGATGTGTTTAGAGAAAGGATGTGGGTTAAGACCAGATTGTGAAATACATGACCAGTACCTGTATCCTGTAGCTAATCTGTGGGTGGCAATATGCAGAACCCCCTTCCATAACATGACAACTTCCTGGAAAGAACACGCAGATGAACAAGAGATAAACAACGGGACAACGTCAAACTACAAGAAACTCAATATGAGATATTATTAAAGAATGTGCTTATGTTTGTTTTTTAAGTTGACATATTTAATATGTACGATAACAGAAGAAAAAAAATGTCTCCACAGATCAACAAGAAAAGGTGCTACAGTGTTTTTACATTTTAATCTTTAAGCCATATTTCAAACTGTACCTCTGGTTCTCCTGTGTCCTGGTTGGTCTGAATGAGGATCTTGCCGATGCGGACGTCTTTGCAGACAGCCCTCAGTGCCGGCTCCATGGTCTCTCCGGCTCGCAGGATGGACACGCCTGTGATCTAAAGAAAAACAAAGAAAAGGAAAAAAACAATTAAACTGAGGTTAATTGCATCGGTTTATGTAGAGACAACCCCCCTCTGAATGGTCTTAAAACAAAATTTGAGTTGAGAAAATGGCTTGAAATAAATGGAGTTCACTCACCCTCTTCCCATGAAAAGTCCTGCCTTCATAATCCTCTCCTTGGGGGGTCTGGACTAGGTGGACCTGAGATATTAAAAATCACAACAGTGTGGGCACATTGCTCATCACGGCAGAAGCCAGGAAAATAGTCTGTGACAAGTGAATTACAAACTGTCACATGTGTACAGACACGCAGTCACGTGTCTTAAATGGGTTGGGTATGGAAACTTTCCATTGCGGTAAAGTTTCCTTGTTAATGCCGCTCACCGCTGACTGTCTATCTGATTCTCTCTTTTAGCAAAAACAAGAACTCACTCTATTTAAATTCATCTTCTATCTTTCAATCATCTCTTTCAATGTCACACACTGTGCTGTATCTCTCTACCCATCACTTGACTCACACTTTCTGTTCTAGTCTCCATCCAGGCCCAGGTACAAAAAGGTTCAGAGTTCTCGTCCTTAATACAAAGGGCTACGGAAGCTCAATGCTTTGCCCTGAATTAGTTAAGAGTGTATGTCAGTGTTTCACACCTGTGAGGGGAGGAAGGAGAGCGCTCGCTCGATCAACAGTCGCATCAGCCTCTTGGAGTAGAAGATGAACTCATCGCGGCTGGTTTCTTTATTTCTGCATGTGGTGATTAGGAAAAAGAAAGACACAAGAGGCATCTGCTTTTAGAACGCACATTTCTCAATTAAGACAGATGAAGTCGTTCTTGTAATAAACACCCTGAGCTTTTACCTGATGATAGTGTGCATACCCCTGACCTGGGGTGTGCTCTCCAGGACGCTGAGGGTCTGGGGGAGGGGTTGTGCCTGGTGTGCAGATGCCAGGGCTGCCCTGTAACCATGGCAACAAATGGTAACGCGGGGGTGAAGCAGGGTGAGAGGAGCAGGGGAAGGAAGATGGACAGACATGAATAAGAGTGCAATTAACACTTCTCTACATGCATATGATGTGGACAGCATGTGCCAGTTCACAAATAAGTGAGCCCACACATACTGTACATACAGTTAGAACACACACACACACACACTCACACAAAAACACACATGAGTAGATACATGCACAAAACGTTTCTTAGAAGCAGTTTGAGCAAAGGTACTGTGTACCAACTGTGAGTGGAAAAGGCAGACAAAGAAAATTACCAAGCACCCAGAGACCATGATAATGGAAAACAACATTTAGAATTTAAAATAAACAATTAAAAAATGAACATAATATAAATTTCCCTGTATTATTCTCATGAAAATGCATGAATGTTATTTTCCATGACATGTCTCTACTACTTGTAATAACACCTGAGTATTCCACATGTAGTTGAATACCAGGTTAGCCTAGGGCCACCCTGAGCTCTAGAGGAACACACTGTTAGAAATACTCTGCGATGCAGTCATGTTGACACTACAGTCTCCACGATGTCACTGCAATAAACATTAGCCAGATGCAAAGATAAAAAAAAAAATCATAGCAAATCTGCTCACATATCCCAGCGAAGTTTCCTCTATGGGGAGAGTTTTTGCGACGAAACACAACAACAATCACAACAAAGAAGACACAGAGAGACGAAAAACAACAGATAAGAGGTGGAAACATGAGAAAAGACACAACATCAGGTGAATGAAGGGATGACGGACCATCTCACACAGTGAAAAGTGGGTCAGCAGACACTGAACAATGTCAAACATCTCTGGAAGATGATTACCACAGAGCTGAACTGACATTTTTAAGAAATATAATCTCTGACCTGGTTATCCCTCACTGTGTTTGTCATTATCTGAGAATAAATAGAATAACAGGTCATGATTTAAAATATCTTTACAGATACTTGGGTTAAAGAGACCACAACCAAGTTTTGGATCAGATTTTGATATCTGTACACGTGCATGCACTGTGTGTGTGCGTGGGAGGTGCACAAGAAACTGTGCTGCTGTCACTTTTTCACCATGTGGAACAGAAGAGGTTGGTATTTCAGCTCACAGGCCCCAGCACATCCTGTGTCTAAAGACAGACATCAAGCTCATTTCCTCTCTCTCGGTCTCAGATACTGTGGCCGACATTCAATGGAAAAAACTCAGCGCTTTGTAGTAGGGTATTGGAAACTTTCTCTGTGGCTGAGGTATGTGATAGTTAACAATAAGTGTAGCAAGAGCTTCCTCTCTCTCGCTTTCTGTTATTCACTCTCTCGCTTATTCTTGCTGTTGCTAGAAGGAGGGGTCAGTGACTTGACTCATCGGTGTATTTTTAGACACAGAAGCCAGGAAGAGTGTGAGTTGTAATTTTTCTCACAGATAGAAAGAGGGAAAACCAACATCTTTAGGCTAAGTGCTGGCTGCACCACAACACTTCCAAACTTCTGATCAAAGCTACACCTTTTAAGTGTTGAGAAGTGAATCCATGCTGGTGTGGACTAAATCTTTACAATGTTTTTGGCAGTGTCAGGACTGCTGCTTTAGGAGCCATGTTTGTTTACAGATACGGCCCGATAGTGCCGCCTGGTGATGTGTCACAGCAGCCAGCGGATCAGTGGATGGCAGAGGTTGGTTTTGCTGGCCTCTTTTTTTCTCTCCCTCCCAGTAAGAAGCTGGAGTGGTTGGGGAACTGGGCAGATGGTGAGGAAGAGTATGATAGACAGGATAAAGACCACTCTACCTGACGCTGAGCTCGCGCTGTGAGCCATGGAGGGATTTAGGGTGGGGGGAAGTGGGGGGGAGAGAGTGGGAGAATAGTCCATCAGCAGCATGTGTGTTACTGTGTGTATGTGTTGAGAGTGAGGAGGAAACCAAATAAAGTGCTCTGTGGCACAAAGTGCTCCCCATGGGCAAAATGCATCTTTGGTGAAAATTAGTAAATGTTGCACATCAAATCCACACAAGTAGAAGCCATGAATCAATGAGTTGGATATGGATACAAGGAAAAGGTACCTTCTCCTAAATGTTTAACCTGTTTCCTTTTTAAGTAAATTATCAAGTTGTGTGAAATTGTGTCAAAATTCTAAATTGGTCTTATATTCCAGTAACTCATTGTATCAAGTACATAATTGATCTCAAATAGTCTAAATGCATCATTAATGGGTTATATGCATAAATGTACAGTATGCTATCGAACAATTGCACTTATAGGACATCTTAACTCCCCTTTCTTCTTTTGTATTTGAAAAAGAAGCATCATGATTGAGCATGCAGATAAACCACATGTCAGAAAATAATATTTATGACCTAAAAAATTATGTAAGAAATATTAAAATATACATCAGATGTGCGAAATATTAGGAACCTTTAAAATCTTTGTCCTAAAAGTGAAAGTACAATGTATAATGCAAACAACCATGGACATTTATCCCCCCAAAGTCTGTGCATTGCATTTTGTATCCACTAGAGGGAGTAATGTGGTTTGCAATCACTTAAAAAAATGAAGGGCCACACAAACACAAAGTACAGATCCTCCCTGTGGTAAGTTATATAGCATATATTCATTAACTCTAATGGTAAGATATAAAAGCATAAAACCAGGAAGTAAGACTGAAGAGTCATAATACTCTAATATGTCATTGTAAACAGTGTGTTTATGTGAGCATGTCAGCGTGACCCACTTACCTCCTCCAGCTGACTGTGTACATGCTGCACGATCAAATCAATGGCCACCATGTTGCCACCACCTGACAGGACGACAGACCACACACACGAGGGGAGAAAAACTACTATGAGTATCTATAACTATATATCTAACTCAACACCTTAAATATAGTAACTGTACTACAGCACTGTATAGTGAAATCGAAGTCGTCATGTGAAATGGAACCTGCATGTATATAAACATGTGCGTGTGTACGCACCACGTGGCACCACGATATCAGCCAGGCGCATGGTGGGCTCAATGTACTGCTCAAACGCTGGCTTCACAAACTTGTTGTATTGTTTGATGACGCCCTCGATGCCTCGTCCCCTCTCTGTAATGTCCCTCCTCAACCGGCGCACCAAGCAAATGTCAGAATCCGTGTCCACAAAAATCTTCATGTCCAGTAACTAACAGGAGAACGTGAAGCAGAGTCAGGATAAAGCTCCAAAACACACATTCACACAAAGAGGACGAGGGAAATGGAAGGTTAAATATAACATCTTGGTAATATTTTTAGCTTGTGCTATATCAGCCAACATATACACAGATTTTGACATCTCTAACGTCAGAGAGAGGATACATCAGTTCCAATCTTATTCCATCCTAATCCCTTCCCCAGTGTGATTATATTAAATCAGCATGTTTTTGAATCCACAGTAAATGATTATAAAACTGAAAAGATTTCAAACATGTTTGACCTCATGCACAGAAAACAATAAACTTGACACCAACAACTTCCAATGTGGTGAACATATGAGAGGACAATAACCTTGTCCTACCTGTAAGAGCTCTTTATCCGCAAAGGCCATGATTCCCTCGAAGATGATAACACTGGCTCCGTACACAGTTTTCTGTGGTGGACAAGTGCATGTAGCATTATAGTGAAATGTGAACATTTAGACAGTAATGGTAATGATAATTTTTGGGGCCAGTGCCGATACTGATATAAGGGTGTAATAAAATGTCCAACACTTAAATACCAGCCAATTTATACATAATTTTGTATATATGATTTCTTAGATGTCGTTATCAAACCCTGTTAAAGAAATTTAACTGAGGCTTAATATTCTACAGTTTCACCATAAACTTTATGATAAACAAAACAACAATTTATAGAGCTTGAATTAAGAAAAAATTTTAAATGTAAACATGAATCTGTTTATTCTGTATTCACATATTAGCAAACATAAATCCCGCTACTGAAATATCTATGAACGGCTCTTTTTGGGACGATTTTAATCAGCTATTAAATAAGTTGGGCTCTAAAAAGTACACACATTGGTGAGATCAACCAAAAGTGTCAGTTGCCACTTATGTAAGAATGTCTAAGTGCACTTAATGGACATTTAAATATAAAAGCAAGCAGAGAGAAATCACACAAATGGTTTGTCTGTGACCATCTGCAGTTGCAGATTTGCAGTGTGACTCTAAACCTCTAGGGATGGAGATTAAAAGCCTTTTAGGTAATCGAGAAACTGAGATTACTGCATTTGCAGTAACTCTGACATACTACTCATTAACTTACACAGTGCGTTACCACATGTTTATATGTGTTCATTCATCCTTACCCACTCCTTCTGTCTCCCATGGGTTGTAAAGTCATACACCGGGATTTTCACACTCTTGCCTTGTTTGAGTTTGCGCAGGGTGTGTGTCAGCAAACCAAAGTCAAAGGCATCAGGGTGGTCAAAGTTATAGTCGTTATTGGCAGCCAGAATCTGATTGTCTGGGGACAAGACCTGAGGACGACAGCAACAGTATTGGAATGACTGATTACAGCAGAATTGCCAAAAATGATGCAACATGATATTCTGAGTAGTTATTCTCACTTTCTGGCACACATCTTAACATTAGCATATCAAAGTAAAAAGACTGACAGAACAGAACTAGTGATACAAAACACACAGGTTCAAAATGAGTTTTTTTAGATAATTTACATATGCTTCTGTAAAGACGACACACAGACCAGTGCTCAAGAGCAGTTGAAGTTAGGAGACCTAAATTTAGGAGAACATCATGCGCCACTGTGACGTCTGTACCAGGTGGTGTGTGTGTGTGTGCGCGCCTTAGGGTGGTCGAGCATTTAAACCCCAGACGTGGTATGTGACGGTTTCAGAACAGCAGCACTCCCCTCTCAAGTTAAAGGATTACACACTTAATATGAGAAACCAGTGTTACCAGCTCTCAGGGGCCTGTGAGCAGGCTTGAGGCAAGTCAAGTCAAAGTTATTTAAATGGTGCCAAAGCAGAACCGAAGGATGTTGTAACACAACATTTCATAATGTACAAGCACAAGTGCAAAAAAAACTTGAGAAAGAAAGTGAAAAGACAGAGAAAGGAAGGGCAGAGAAAGAGATCAGGAGAACTTGGCGCAAAGCAGGTTCCACCTAAAATGCTTTAATTGGACTAGTAATAGAACTAATAATCAATATTTGCAGCAGCACTGGTGGTTGAGCAGGATCATGGGAGAAATGATTTAATATTTAGGATGCTGGCCTCTGGTAATGCAATGTGCAAACTGCAACTTGTTAAAGGCTTCAGCACCACTGGTCACTGGTTCATCCCGGTTACTCCTAACAATCTGAACCGCTGCTGTCAGACTGTGACAGGATTACATAACTATGGTGTGGGAGGAGGTATGGACAGGCATGAATAATGCCCCCCCCCTTCACTCACCACTGTGCTTCTCTTTCAACTCATCCGCCCTGTAGTATTTTAACCTTTGTCTCCTTTCTTTACACTCACTCCTCATATTTTCTCTCTTTTACTATGTCCTCTGCACTTAACTCTTCCCTCAGGCTACTGGGTTCTTAGCAGCCATACAAGACAGGGGTGCTGTACAAATAAAAGGTTATCTGTAAAAATGTTGACAACTTAAAAGAAATAGGCATCCAGACTCCCAACTTACAACGTTCACTGACAGGTGTGTGGCTGTATGCAAATACACATATCCCATCACTGCATATAGAACATACTGTACAAACATGCACACCTTGTAAAAAGAGTCCATTGAAAGTAGCACAAGCCAAGGCACATCTAGAGCCTCGATGATCTTCCTGGATACTGTTGTCTTTCCTGAAGCGCTGCCGCCGCACAGACCTGTGACACGGACATGAAGGACATTATGTAAAGTTTACTTTGCATGTTGGGAACATACAAACAAAGGCTTGACAAGACATTCTGTGAAAGGTATTTTCAGAAACTCTTTTGCACCAGACACAGCCTTAAATGCAAAACAACAGCAAAGCAGTGCCACCTCTAATTAAGTTTGAGTGTCAATAATGACACTGAGTGAGCTTTTCAATATTACATTGGCAGAAAATAAGATCATCGCTTATTCCCGCAAAAGGCACACTTCAAACAAATCTGCTTGTGTGTTTATTTTGTTTCCAACAGATAATACTCCTGCATCTCATAGATTAATATTCATTTGTTTTAGGTTTAGACTTGGTACTTAATCTACTGCTTTTTTCCTTCAGTGTTGAGAGCTCTCTCTTAAGAAGATGAACTGGCGATGCATTGTGAGCTGATTTGTATTCTGCTGTATGACACAGCAAATGAATAGAATAACGTAAACAAAAACATAGAAGAAAATGAAAACATCAGTACTGTGCGTCTCTTTTATGTGTGTTACCGATGACGAAGGCCTCTTTGGACTGTGTTCCATGTTCGTTGTACCAGGGCGGGCGTCCAGCAGTATAGATGGTTCGTTTGGAGGTGCGTAGGAGAGGAGGCTCAGACTTGCACTGGCTAGTGGTTCTTTTCCGAGGGGTCAGGCCTGTGCTCACTGAGGGGAGGAGGCGGTCCAGCGATCCATCACCACCTCCGCTATAAAACAACCAACATACAACAGAGAGGACAACATTAAAGTCTGGAGAAAACGAAAAACAAGCAATTTCTAAGAGCAGCTATTAAGTGGTAGATAATAACTTGCTTTTGGTAAAAGTATTAGACTAGTACAATGCCATAAGTTACATTTGAACTATGGTGTTAAATAGGCAAAAAGGCATTGACAGATAAGGATGGGGACAATAAGCCACAGATATATCACCAAAAGTGCTATCATCATCTTAATAAAAGGAAGAGCTCCTTCCTGTTCACGCCTCTTGTTATACTGTCATTTCAGTGAGTCACACCTATTTGCCAAACAGACACAAACATCAGTTTATAATTGTGAAGAGAAATGACCCAGTTACAAGACCAAGCAAGTGTTGTGTTACCCTGTCACAGGTTAATGTTTACTGTGTTTTACACCTCCACCAGGTGAGCTTTATACAGGAACCAAAGTACATTATATGTTGGAAAATATGTGGAAAAACAGTCATTTGATCAGTTGTGCAACTCAAACGTGTGCAAGTATATGCTTTCGGTTTTGGCTATGATTAAGACAATAGTCAAAGTCAAATAGACAATGTTTTATCACATTCAACAAGGTTTTAAAAAGTCCTCATGAACAAATAACAAGTCAATCTAGAACAGATATGAGGTTCTTCAGTGGAGCCAGACACACAGTGAATTTGCATAAACAGACTATTCAAATCAAACACACTGGTCAATCATGTCCACACGACATAACAAGAATACTAGTAACCAGATTTCCACGGAAAGAGTTGTATGTAATACTTTACTTGAATCACTTATTTTTGAATAAGAATGATTGGACAGAAAAATAAACTTGACTTCGTGCTCATTCAGCGTCATTGTTGACATTTTGTGGCTCTGCTTTGCAACTGTTTTGGAAACAGGAGTGTGTTTTGTGCCAGAGAGGAGCCGGTGAAATACCTTCACTTTATTAATTGGGATGTTTATTTTGAAGAAAGCTGCGGCCTGTTTCTGCCTGTCTCTCTACATGCGAATGATAATCTGAAGAAACCTCAGCATTCACCTCACAGGGAGTCCTGTCAAGCTAGCGCTTGTATGCTCCCACCCAGCAGAGGTATTTTTGAAAATAATACTTTAATTAAAAATATTTGCAAACATATCGTCTTTATGCCAATCAGTGGGCCTGCTTCAGGAAAGACAGTGGTGAAAAATGAAGTTTTAATATGAGGTTAGGTAATGAATGTTTTTTTACTTAAAATACATGTCTGAATTTTGACATGTTTGTGCATGTCTTTACATCACTTCAAATTATGTGTGTTACGTGTGCTATAAGTTTTCACATGTTGCAGCACGACCAAAGATTTGATTCACATGTTTATGAGAGGAGTTCTGTGAAACTGCACTTGATTGCTCTGCCTCAATGACCCGGATGTGTGTTTAAAGTTTATTGGAATTAAATTCAAAATTATGTTATTCAGACACAATTACTCAAATTTTCAGCTTATTTTCATTTCTGCTCGTATATTTACTCCAAGTGTCTTTCAACACCAAAACTTGTGCCAAACTTTTGCAACGGCTTTTCAAATTTGGCAATAAAGCTACTATTTGCTCCACACAAACAAGAGTTATGGAGAAGAAGTGTGAAGAAGAGGAATGTACATTAACATTCAGTTAATGGTTGTGGCTAATTATGATTCAGAGCAGAGAACGACAGCACAAAGAACTGTTCAAACACATTGTTGAATGAAGCATCTGTAACTCGCTTCATCTCTTGGTCTACTCTGACAGCCTGAGGCATCTGTGATGCATCATCTACTTCACTGATGTTGCAAATATCAAGTTTCACAAGGGAAATCACGAAGAGGTATTACCAAAAGTAATCTTGTTTTAATTGAATAACAAAGACAATTTTGTTTGCGTGATAAGTCCAACCAGGCAACGGTTACTAGCAACACTTCACTTACTGCAGCATCGGAGATATCCACACTTCACCCAATGGGGACTGTAAAAACCCAGAAGCCATAACAATGTACGAGAGCAGTAAAAGATGTTCCTCTGTCTATTTCTGTTATCCAGTCAACTCTTGGCTCCCACATCCTTTTATAGGCCATACACCTCCCCAGGTGGAGGATCAAAAGGTTGGAGGTGAAGCAAACAAGAGAGAGCAAAGGTTTTTCTTATCGCACCAGGGGCACCTGAGCCTGGATTGAGCCGGGGAGAGTACTGAGACTTAGACAGCACTGCACATGAAGCATAGCACACTCAGGCTGGGTTATCAGTTTATACAGAACCAGCTTGCCATAAACGATAAGCCGAGTTGACTGTGCTGAATCACGCCCTTGTTCAGTGGTTAAAGTAATAGCGCTCAATGCTCTTAAACATTACACTGATCTCTGAATGCACCTTTGTGAAAAAAAATAAGGACTTGAGGTCTCAGTGCAGTTCGAGTGGCACAGCGAAACAAAACGGTAGAGCATTTACACAGTGGTCATAGAGAACAGAAGTAAATGATTATCTTATACTATGTGCAGCTTAATTTTTCTCCTTATCAAACCTGGTTTAAGACTGGTTTTATGGAGGGCGACTCAAAAGCTTAATGTCTCACACAAAACCTTTCATTTAACCATAAATCTACAGCAAACATGGCAACAACTTTGCAATTCAGTTTGTGTAAGGGTAAACATTTGACATTTTTATATAATATCAATTCTTTAATTGACATTCATCTAAGTTTTCTGTATTCGACTTTTTCTGCATCTGACAGAACTCCTCAAACAACACTTAAACGACTCTTTCCCAGGTTTTTACATTATAATTTCAATCTTATAATTAATTTGTGAACCGGAATTATGTGGAAATAATAACCAGATATGATCATTCCACTGAAAACTGACAGATGCAAACAAATATAGCATGTTGACAAAAACTTTACAGATATACTGCGGAGGGATATAGACTGGAAATGTCCATCCTGTTCATCCTCATTTGGAAGACACACACCCACACAGCTAAACCTTCACTATGCAAAACAGTAGTTTCTACATTACACTTAATAATGCTATAATAAAATTATATAAATAAATAAAATACACTTACCTGCCATCAGATCTTAGAGTCCAACAGCCAGATATTCTGGCTCCTGAATAAGGCGGTAGAGAGTTCATGCCTGGAGACAATATAATTCCCACTCTTGTGCTCTCTTCAAGTTCTGTCTTTATCTTATCTTATTACCTCAGCATATATTCACACTCATCCACAATAAAGCACTTAACCACTCTGCACACATCCAGAGGGAGAGAGATGGAGGGAGGGGAAATACAGAGGGGAATCAGATTGGACTAGAAACGAAACTTTTAACATCTGTTTAGCTTTCAGTTTCCACCAGTCGGTCCTGCAACAGAGAGAGAGAGAGGCACTGCAGCTTGGTAGAGAGAGCGTATTCAGACAGCAACTACAGCAGAGCTTTTCCCTCCTCTTTCTCTCGCTCTCCACTCCTCCCCTCAGTCGTCCAGCCAACAAATGTAAGAGGATAACCTACCCTCTAGATTATGTTCATTAGGTGGTATTAATAGCACCAGGGTAGAGCCAGACCTCCCCACGACTGGTACATGCACTCTCTCTCTCTCACACTCACACAAACACTTGGGTCATCTGTCTTTGACAGCCAGTGTTGCAATATGTGGCTAAACAAGAAGGAGGAACCAGAAGAGAGTGACGGAGACACCAATAAATTGGGGCGAAAAAGTGGGTAGAAACAAACAGATGACTATTGTTTTCCTCTGTTATTGACATTATTGACCGAATTAACAACACAAGATGTTTCAGGCCATGTTGGGGAGATGAGGAGAGGGAGAATTGGAAAGGGATTAGATTAATAGAGGGGAAGGTGATAAGTGTTTTGTTTTTCCCCTGCAGGGACTTGCCTTGTCGCCATGTGCCTTACACTAGTCTGGAGACGGCAGCAAACACGCAATAACGCAAACACACCCAAGCTCTGAACTGTCCCCTCTCTAACTTGACTCACAGGGAATAAACAGCATGATGAAACCAAACACTACCTCCACCGCTCCGTCAGCTGAAGTCTGCAGGACAGCTCGGGGCAAAATGCACATACAACCAACAAGCACGCACGCACACACTCCTGCTCCACCCAGGCAACAACTTGCACAGACAAACAAATTGTTATATATTCAGAGATCAGAAGAGTCTCACTAATTCTTTTAGCGAAAACAAAACCAAGCACTGTGCAGGTTACAGTTTAAGAACCATGCCACTTAGAGAAGATTTGGTTTAAACCAACATTTAAAGCGTTATCAAACATTCTGACTGTGGACTTGACAAGACATCATTTCTGCTGCTTCCTTGTTAAAACACAGAGAACAAACACAGGGGATTTAAATGTTTTTCCTCTAATCTTCAGTGCAGTTCAGGAACTCTGGCTGTTTCTTTAAACTGCTTTCAGGAGACAGCTGCAGTGCCAAGAAAGCCTCATCCAAACTAGCAGGCTGAACCGGTTGCTATGCCAAACATTCAGCTACCTCTCCAGGGCTACAGAGGCACAGAGCATAGTTTAAGGCCCCAGCTGAATTACAACTTCACTACAACTACATCTAATTTTATAAGAGAGAGATGTTTGACTATTTATTCACACTGAAGATAATGAGGGACAAAACCACTCGTTTCTAAATTCTAATGACTCATTTAAAATCTATAAATGGGAGTCACGTTTCACAGAGACCATGAGGGTACAAAATATTTCAACATGACCCAAATTCCAAATACTTCATATCTATTTCATAAAATCTTATGCAAGTATGTATGTATGTATATAACTTGGGCAAAATAATGAAAAACTTGTCAAATACATTACAGTTGTACAGTATATGGTAAATGTACTGCATTTACGTAGTGTTTTTTGTAGCCTTAACAACCACTCGAAGTGCTTTACACTACAAGTGTATTCATCCACTCACAAACACATTCATACAGCCCTTCTACACGTGTTTCCATAGCAAATTATTCACACTCTAACAGAGCAGCCATCAGGTTTAATTTGAGGTTTAATGTCTTGCCAGTAAAAATCTACCAGACGGGACTCAGGTGCAAATGAGGTTCACAGTTGAGGTAATGTATTGAAGTTATATTCACGGTAAGCAGCAAAAAGGAATGAATAATTGTGATTCATTACAAGTGGAAGGGGAAAAAAACAGCCAACTGGCAAGATGAGTATTTTTTCCTTTGCCGCACAGCGTTTGCCCCTGAAGTTACAGCAGAGACTGGTAACATCACAGGTAAAGCAGATATGACGCATTTAAAAGATGACCAAAATAAAATGTTCCGTGAACATGTATAAAATTTGGATTTCTCTGGGTTTAACATTTGGATAATGGGCTGATAATGGGGATAATGGCTGGCTGAGGGGTTAGTGCGGTCGTCCTCTACCCAGAAAGTTCGATCCCCATCTGCATGTCGATGTGTCCTCGGGCAAGATCCTGAACCCCGAAAGGCCCCTCATGGAAAAAGTGCTGCCTGTAGATGCACTGTATGGATGTGTGTGTGAATGGCAATAAACTGCACTGTAAAGTGTCAGCAAGACTAGAAAAGCCCTATATAAATACATTTACCATAATGTAAGTACACTAATCAACCAAATATATAACACAGATTTTCAGACCTTTTACGAGGCATTGTCCCAATTTATATTTTTAAATAGAATCTATGGGATACACATTCAGCTGCGGGTATATCCTAAACCTGCAGCTGAATCTCACAACCACAGTCTGTGTTGATTTATCTTACACTGCATTAGGTTCATCTAAAGAACGTGCGTTTTGGAAGTTGAGTCACACATTTTGGCCAATTTTCATCATCAAAACACAGCAAACGAAAAAGCTTGTGCATTTACTCAATGGTTACCACTGAGTACTACATTGACTTGGCTCTTTTTACTGCAGCGAAGCAGATATTTTAGTGTAAACAAGGTTCACTGTGACCATGTGGGTTTTATCTCCTTCAATCCATCAAGCAGCAGTAAAGTCTGACTGGTGCAGTGACGCCCCCTTGAGGCTCAGCAGGGTAGCACGCTGTGGGGCTCTCTTTACTGAACCTGCGGCCACAGAAATCTGACAACAACACGAACATGACAGTTTGTTTCATGGACGTGGATCCAGCTGCGGCGTCAGTCACCTCAACAAACATGGACCCGTCGCATGGTGCTGCTCTCTGGGGGAAGATGACGTGTGTCTGTGAGGAGGCAGCTCTCTCTCTAACTGTGCCATGCTGTCTCTTTTCCGTCTCCTCCTCTGCTCTTTCATTTGTATTCGGCCATTTTCATTTCTTTCTCTCCAGCTTCGTCGCGGTTAGCGTTAGCATTAGCCACGTGACGTTAGCTCGGTGAAGTTTTGTTTTCTTGTGAGGGCACCTCGTGTAAAATATGATGAAGTGTCATGAGCGAATGGATGAGATGGTGAAACACGGACATGACTGGAACTCTGAGTTAATGTGATAATCGTAATAAACTAATGATTAAACTGTTCTTCATGCAGCATGCTACTTAGATATATATATAAACTGACAAGGGAGTGTACTCATTATGGCACATTGGGTGAGAGTTTCCTAAAGATGCTTAAATAACTACCGGTTATTTCCTTTAAAAAGTCGCCCGATATAATTCCACACGTTACCGAATAAAAACCCGTAGTTTCTATTCATTACCTGCTCGATAGAGAGGCTGTTTTCTCCTCGTTCTCCATCTTTGACAACCTTCCTTCCTTGTTCATGGTAGACTTACCACTCTGTTGACAAATCAGGTGGAGTACAGTAAAGCCCCGAGGCATCATGGGGCTTGTAGGCGTTTCGTGTCTCAGCACACGAACGTTTGGCCAAAGAGAGACTTCACATCCCAGAATGCAGCTGTTGTTTCACTTCACTCTCCCCACGCAGCAGCAGGGCAGAGGCTTCACTCAGCTGCCACCGCCCCACAGACCACGTGCGAGCTTCTCTGATTCAGTAATTGTTTTCAAAATGTATTTCATTGTCATGACGTGTTTTATTTAGGTTCAATGTGCTGTGATTTTGTTAAACATCAGAAATATATATGATGGAAATATTTCTCAGGCTTTATTATAAAGTACACTTCACCAAAGTCAACCGAACTTGGTCATTAGCATTCAAATTGCTATTGTTTGTCTAGAGTGCAATAAATCCTACATTACAATGAATTATTAATGTATATAATTAAGATACCATGAGAAAAGATAACACTGAGGAAAATTATTTTGCCTCCAAGATTACAGTATCAACAATATATAGTAGAACACAATACCGTAAATACAACAAAAGAGTATTAAGTTTAAAAATATAAGTGAAAATAAAGACTGAAATAAAGTCCTGTACAGAGTAATGCAGAGCCAAAATGTTAGCAAGCATTTATTTATGAGTTTGACATGGAATAGCTAGAAAACCATAAATCAATTTCCAATTTGGTGTATGGATGGTTGCTTGGCCTGGGAAGAGCACATTTTTATTGAGGACATGAGTTAAAGGGCAGATCCAGGATATATTTATGACAAATAAATCATTTAGGATATCTAACCACTTATTTTTTTACTATAATTTTTACTATAAGAGCAAGACATTTGTGTGTTGGATTGTTTGGCCTTTGCTGAAATTTGGGCTGGACCGATTGCCATTCTAGTTCTACGAGTGAACCAGAGAATGTTGGTTAAATTAGTAAATTGTTAATAAAAGAAAAATACTCTTTGCATTATTTTTTAAAGCATCCTCACTGAACACTTAAAACACCTAAATGTGTTGTGACAAGTTCTGCCATAATTTACCTGTCTATTAAATTCTACTAATCACATCCGATATAATAGTTGATGTATATGTACTAAAGATAACAGATATGCAAACTTGACACAGTCGACACAAGTTTAGTCAACAAACTTTTATTAATTAGTTGAGGGATACTAATGCACAGGTAATACAACAAGTTTTGGAGAAAAATTGTAACAGTTCAAACTCAGAGGAGGTACTGACGCCTCCCACGTTAGATACTATACAGCTTAATTTCAGATATGGAAATCTTTAATACATCATTAGTCTAATTTCACCTGTTACTTATATATTATAACCAGTTAGGAGCTACAACATCATCTCGTAAAACTCTCAACAGTTTCATCACAATGGCCCCAACAACAAAGGCGGAAACCATTTCCTGCTTTTGAAGTCTAGGTAGCATATAAAATGAACCACTGTTGTCCAAATAAAGGGTAAAATTCTCAGGCTGTCGAAGGGGATTTGTGAGGATTAAGCTTGGGTTTGGAGATAACATTGCTGACAAAGGGAAGACGCTCGAGCCTGCTGTTTCCCCAGGTACAAAAGTCACACCACACACAGTCCAGGTAACTAGAAAGCTCCAACAACACTCCTATTTCAAGCCTATTTCATGGTATAGTAAGTGCACTAAATACAGAAACAAACACACATACATATGCCTTGTTGTCCCATATTGAATAGTTAATAATAAAGGACTCTCTCAATGTGTTTGTCGTCGTGTACTGAAAAAGCTCAATTTATGTGCATCATCAAAATGAATAAAATAACAGTGTATGCCGACACATAGGCCTACAATGTTCCTTGTGGTCTACAAATTTTTTCAACCGTTTCTTTTTTAGACTTCATAATATGTAAAAAGCATTTTTAAAGCAAACAAATAAAAGTAGGGGAGTGAAAAAAAAGCCATACATTTCTGAAAAGACACATCAATATCAAAATATCAGCAAGCCAACAAAAACAGCTAATTATGGTGTATTGCTGTACTCTCTAAAACATGTTGCAGTCAGCTCACACTGCGGGATAGATATGTTTTCCACATCGTAGGAAGACAGATAGTAAAGGGTGTGATAAAATATAAAATACCCACTGTTAAAAGCAGTGCTAAACTATCATATTGCAACACCAAAGCTTGTCAGGTAAACACAGTCAATGTGACGTTATTAATGAAATGATTAACAAGCAGCTGATGAACTGATTCTGTGCCACGGTGCAACACTTGATGCAAAGTGTTACCATTTCTGACATCCAGTCATTACAAAGGTGCTAACTGTTTACCACAAACACACAGACACGCATACACACGCACACACTCTGGACGACTCCTATTGAAAAGGTCATTAGACCAATCAGTGCTTGTCTTACCTCACCCCGTCCGTTGAACCTGGATAGAAGTTAAACGTCCATCCCACTACCAGAGACAGACACATGCATATTCATCCCCATCCGAATAAACTCCATCAGTTGATTAATAATGGAGGAATTCACCTCAAATCTTTGCTTAGCAATGTAAAAGGTCACGGCGCAGGGGTGACACCACCTGGGACACACACCGAGAAATTCAAAATCCGATGTTACGTGAAAATGTTCTGCTGACATCAGTGCTTGATTTCAATGACGACATTGACATTTGTTGGTGCAAAATTTAGAGGATGGATCTATGGACTTGAATTGAGTTGTATCAGGTCCTTAAGGTAGAATGGCAAGTAAAGCACCCTTATTATCTCACCAGAATATCCTCACATCACAACTTTCCCCAAAGCTATCAGATTGCTACCTACGTAATACACACAAGAGAATATAAAATAGATTTATCATCTGACTTATTTTAAGTAAGCAAGTAATTTTTTCATGGCCATAGACCGCAAATATAAATCAAATATTTATGGAGTTTTCATTTGTTCAATTTCTTAATAGAACTTTTGGTTCAAGTACTTTAAACACATTTAAGTGAAAATATTCTCTGATTGCACACATTTTAGATTTTAACAGAAATGTACTAATATCGGATTACTTCTTTTAAATCTCAAGATAAACCAACAATAAGTGCGAGAGCGGTCTTAAACACGACCAGTTATGGCTTTGCGTGGTGAGTCATAATAATACGGTCATGTTGGATCACACACACTGAATAGAAAGAGCTAACCACGCTGCTCAATAACAAATTTATTTTATCTCTAGCTTAATTTTTCATCAGAGTAAAATATTCCCGCTCCTGTACCTGACGGCCGCGAGGCCAAGTTGAATTTCTCCTGGAGTGCAAAAATACAAGAGGGGGGTGAGAGGGGTTAAAGTGCAAGGCAATAACTTTGAGCATCCAGGAATTAATTCATAAACCGTTTTATAAGTATTAATCTTGATTTGCATTTTTTTTCTGAGATTCAAGCTAAAGCAGTAGCCAAAACATGGCTTTCTTTAACATGGTGTCACATCATTTGATTGTGCTGCAATGGTGCAACAAGCTTCACACAA